ATTTCGTCAATTTTCGACTTTAGAAAGAAAACGTCGAAAATCTGCAAATTCCAACGAAACGCCTGGACAAACACGGCCGGTCATTCCACCGCTCTCGTTATCCCCGAAAATTGTTATTAGCACGCGTATCGAGGGTGCAAAAAAAGGAAAAAAAATTTACGTTCTTGCACGTCCCTCTCGAAAGGTTACGCGACGCCGTAAAACGTCTGGAAGGATAAGCAGTGGCGCGGCGGCCGTCATGAATACGTAATCGCGATACGATCAACGTCCAAAGCAATTTCGAGTAATTTTTATCGGTCGGCCGCGAGGGAATCGGCGAGCTGTGGAACGGCGAGCAGAGGGGAGAGACGAACTCTCCTCTATGGAGTCGAGAATTCCTCTTCCAAGGGGTATACGAAACGAGCTCCGAAAATCCTGTTTTCCAACCGTGTGTTGTTGCGATTTGCAATGGAGATCAGCCGTGGATCCCTCCTATTTACATCGCTCCCTCCTACGTACAATGAATTATTCGAAATTGAGCCGTTCGTTTGAAGAAACTGCTTGGCGAACATGCCCGCCGCCAACCATCGATCGGTTTATTGCTCTAAATCGGGATATCGGGATCGGATCGGTTTGGATTAAAGGAATCGATTCGCGCGAAGGTATTAAGCTCGATTATGGCTCGAATTTATATCAGTCGCCATTTGTCCGAAGAAAGAAGAAGATATCGAGTTGCGTGAATCATCGATCCTCAAAGATTCTCGAATGATTCTTTCGCGCTCTTTTCTCCGATCTCCATGAATCTTCACTCGTCCGATATTCGATCTCGTATCTGGTTTTTAAAACTCGAAAGAAACGAGACGAAGCTGCGTTATCATCAATGGATTCGAAATTGTGATAAGGGTTGTCGCTCAAACTGATGGAAAATTAATTCAATCGTGACAATCATTGTCTCCTGTTGCTCCGGAAACTCTTGGCGAAAATCGAATTTTCAACGATCAAGACCCGTTTCGCCCATGCGAGCTTTCCCTATTCGCTTTCTCTAAAATCTTTTCCATTTATAATTGACTATTTCATTTTACCTTGACGTTACGAAAACGTCAAATTCGTTCCATTTTCAGAAGAGAAAAAACCACGAGAAAAAAGGAAACGCTTTTCCTCCTACTTCAAATATCAAGGAAATTTATTGCCAAAAATTAAATTCCAAGCGTAAAAGGGTCGAAAATTCTCGGGAAGAGCACGACATGTCTCCAACGACATCGAAGCAAAAGTAGCAGAACTTTTCGGAATTTTCCACGAACCGCGATCCTGGAAAACGTTTTCCATCCACGCTCCAACCACCTTCTCCCCGACCCACTTCGCAGTCCCATCCCCTCCTCCTCCTCACGGAAAAATGAAGAAAACATTTGGCCGAATCGTCTCCATTTACAAACTCCCCCCCCCCCCCCAACTCTCCATTCTCAGCCATCGAGCAGAAACTTCGATTAACTCCACCAATGGCGAGCAGACGTTCGGGGCAATAGCTCGCTGGTGGAGCGTAGAATCGACATCCGATATGTCGCGGGATAATCGCGAATATACAAGGGCGGAACGAAAAACCATCGTGGCCATCGACAGATCTGTCAAGGATCTGGAAGCTCGACGACCAGCCCTTAATTAACACCGCGGCCAGGCCTCTGGAAAATTCATTAAAACCGAAATTCCATCGGCTGGCTCCAACACGAGCGCGTTACGACGTACGCCAATTTTCTACGCGAGTTTATAATTAGAGTTTAAAATTTAATTCGATGCCTCCCCCCCCCCCGTTTCTAAATTGTTCGTTCTAAATTTGATTCAAATATTTTTGCTATCTCGTTTAGGAAAGAGGCGTTCGATCGATTAATTTAAAATCCGTTTCCACGAAATTCGAATTCTTATTACGTGGATCAATTTTAATGAACTAACGAGCCAACTAACGAGTTTTAACTTTTTGAAAAGATTCAATTCGTTTGATGCGATTTTTCAAGAAACAAATTATATTATTTTTTTAGAGATTACATTCCACTCCCACTTTCTTGGATTATTGATTTAATTATAAAACAATTTGAGAGCGAGAAATATAATTTATTGGAACGTGGCTTTGTCATCATTTTCTTTTTTTTTTTTTTTTTTTTGTTAGTGAAACATGCATCCTTCTTAATAGAAATGGTTTCTTTCTGAATAAATAATAATTTAATCTTTAAAAGGGCATCGAATCAACTCGTAGGCCTGACAGATCGATCACACTGTACCGCGTCGAGAGTAAACAGGTGATGAGAGAAACGGGAGCGCGCAAGGGTGGAGGCGTCGTAGGCTAATAATAAAAGCGAAGGAATGTTTCCTGTACGCGTTGGTAACGCGGAGAGGAACGATAATGGACGGTGATAAAACTGGGTGGCAGTGATATGGATGATGGAGCGACGGAAGATTGGTGGAAAACAAAAGATGACGAGTACTCGTTTACGGAGCGATAAATGGAATCTCTGGGGGTGGGTTTTCTTGTATTTAGTGCATTTCTGTAGTGCGCGATGTAGACTGTAATAGTCTGCGTTTCACGTCGTGGAACACGCGAAATTAATTAATCGATATTTTAAATGTTTAAAAGAAATTACAAATTTCTCTTTTTGAAAAACTCGTTCGAAAATACGATTATAAAAATTCTAATCTCAACAAGAGTAATTCGTAACATTTAATAAACTTCATCAATCTTACTAATTATTACTTCACTAATATAAATAATTACGTATATATAAAACTCGTTTAACTATTTTATGAACTAAATATTGATGGATTAATTTAATTAATTTACGATAACTCGGCGTATCGTACACTCTGCTCGAGTTCCCCAATTTACAATATCGAAACAACTCGTCACTTTCAAAGAAACGAATAGGAATTCACGCATTTCTATAAAACGAAATGGAAAGACACGATAATGACGAACAATATTCAACGAGAAGAAGAAGAAGAAGAAGAAGAAGAAAATCTAAGAAACGAAGGAAATCTCGAGAGGAGAGCAGCGAATGGCATAAAAGATGTAACAGTCGGATGCATTATCGAACGAGAACGAGAGGATGAAAAATTAACGAATATGGAGCCAGTTTCGAAACTAGGCTCGTCGAGGCTGAGCGAAAAAAACGGGGGTGGGAGGCGATGTAGAAGGATGGAATAAAAATGTAAGCGGAAAACGAGTGGAGGTTATAGGGGCGGGTACGTGATGAACACGTAAAACGTGGAAAAACGTGGAAAAAACGTGGAAACACGAGGGGGCGTGCGAAGAGCGAGAGGCAGGTCTGCCACTTGACTTTGGCCAAGCGGAAGTGGCCTAGACGAAGACAAAGAGAGACGTCAGAGGGGCGAAGAGATATCAAGACGCTGGAAGATCTCGCTGGAAATAGCCATGCTATTCGTGTCGTAAGAGTCATCGGGGCAAGAGTTTTTCTAATCTTTTGATTAAAGCAACCGACTATCCCCTTTGCGATTTTTCACATTCGATATTGCAAATCGCTGTAAATTGGCAAAAAATGCTGTATAATGGGCGTATGAAAATTGTGCAAACCTTCAAAAAAGTTCAAAGATAAAATGTTTAAATGTAATGCTTGTTGTTAGTTCAAAGCTTGGACGAATACTCGAGAATTAATCACGAGAATTAATCGTCTTATTATTCAAATAAAATTCAACAAATTATCGATAAATTAGATTAGTAGAATTATTCGTTGCAATAATTTTAACTTTAACTCCTCGACGAGATATATTGAATCAAACTTTGACCAACATTGCTCTCAATAAAACTGTAAATATCAAAATATCTCATTTTAAGAATTTGATTATCTATAACAATATCCAAGCAATGGATATCCGAGCAATTTCGCTTGCCTGATTTTATCAAAAATCGTTCGTTTTTATTTTTACATCGCATGCATCTTGCGATTTCGTAATATTCAACGAACGACACGAAAAGTTGTTAAAGGGAAATTTCCTTGTCTAAAGCAAAAGAAGGAAGGATTGAAACTGACACTGCGCCGATATCAGAGAATTAAGCGCGCATCCGAGCGAAAGTTGTGTCGAACGCACGTGATCGTTGGACAAGCGGAATCTTTTTCCTTCCCTTTTCTTTCTTTTTCTCTTCTCTTCTCCGCTTGGTAATGGAAAGCCGTTGTAAAGTAGCTTCTTTTAAATTCCCCTCTTTTTTTTCCTTTTTTTCTTTTTTTTTTCCTTTCCTCCAAAGATTGCACGGATAAGTCGTAACCGTGCTTTTTTCCCGGACACTTGTAGATTTATATGCGACACCGAGAGAACGTGGACTTTGGATCTGGTTTATAAATATTTTTCGAAGCGGTCGGCCAGCTTATCGATCTCGCCGTGGAGCGTGATGCAAGTTTTTGCATAGCGTGTGCATTCGGGTGAGGTGGAACGTTACTCGGAAAATGTGATTTTTTTAAAGCTTGCGGGGCATGAAGAGGATTATGAGCCCAAGTTGGTATGGTGGGAATTAAGGAGCTTAAAATTTTTAGTCTCGAGCGTAATCGTTATACCGAGTACAGTAGTCGAAAACTTCTTTTTCCAACGGATACAAACGTGGAGAGGAACAAGGCGATCTAAAAATTTTCCAAAAAAACCACCCGTTATTTAGATCAATTCGTGAAAACCGAACCGATTGAAAAATCGGTATAAAGTTCGTCAAAAAAAAAAAAAGAAAGAAAAAAAGAAGGGAAAAATCCCTCAACTCTCAAAGCCAAACCACTTCAATTTGTCCGAGTACCACTCGAAGAATTCAAAACTTTCCGCATCCTAAACGATGATAAATCTAACCGTTCGACCAAGATTCTCCTTTCTCGCGATCCAAATCCATCGAAAACGTAACAAAAGCCTAAACAACATTCAACCTAGAACCATCCTATTAAACAAGATCTCCTACCGATTCATCTCTCTCTCTCTCTCTCTCTCTCTGCAGAATCGCGCGAGATGGAGCACCGTTGCTCGAATCGGTTCGAGAGACTCACGTTTCTTCTCATCTCGCGTCGAATCCAGGGCCGTGCTCACGTGCGGCTGTCCGATGGTCGCACGGTCGTTGCACCTCGGGGCCTCGTTGCGGCACCAGCCTCGAGCACGTCGACGGGAAGGAGGATGATCGGCGCGAGGGCGGAGGCGAGGATGGAGCGCGACGATGTCGACACGACGGGGCGAACGACGCGCGTAACGACGACACGGAATGGCGAGCACTCGCGAAGCACACGCGAGCGACGAGCATCGCCCCAGCTCGGCACCAAGCTCACGACTGCCTCTCGAGGGCTTAGCTGGGGGTTGCTTCGACTCCGGTTCACCGGTTCAATCGGGGGATGGCCTCCCAAGTGGGAGGGAGGCACACCGCTGCCGTCTAGGGGTTGAAATTGGAAACGCGGCGCAAACTCGCCGGCGCAGTAACGGTGACGCGAGCGTTTCCGCGCGGAAACGTCTCGAACGGGGTGTTGCTCGAATAGTGTTCGTGAAATGGTTTTCCAATGGTAATTTAGTAGTTTTGCAGTTGGAACAAGTGGTGAAAGTGGTCGAAAATAATTGGATCTGCTCGTGATTTTACTCGAATGAATGAATGTTTCGTGAGTATTTGGTTAGACAGAGGATGGAAATAGTTTATGGAGTTAGTTCAGAGTCAATTTTACTTACATGCTACGAGCACTTTGGAAATTTTATCTTTCGATCGATGATATATATACGACGATTTACGTTTTAATACGTTGTTTTTATCGATGATGGATTTGCCGATAAATTAATTCCGTTTCCGTATGCAGCAGATTTTTAAAAATTATTGGTTACAGATGTGTCGAAAATGATAAATGTGTAACGTTTGTTTAAACACAAGGTTGACACAAGAATCCTCGTTTGTACGCAGTCACTGTTGATTCAACGACGCAGTAGAAACTGACGATCACGGTCAGACACGCGATACTGGCATTAATTCTCTAAATTAAAACTGTGACGCGATACTATTGTGATGCGAGACGAACAAAGCAACGCACGAGTAAACAAGTTTCGTGATCGAACCACGAAAACCGTTCTCTTTTGTCGCGTGCTTATACACGGAAATTCATATTTTCGTGAATACATTTAATTCCTCTAAAATTTAGAATCTGAACAAAGGAATCTGCTCTAAGAGGAGCACTATATTATCTCGAATATTTTATGCGTATTTTAAATTCTAATAAAAATCTCTATTTCCATCAAATCATGCATCCGTATAAATTATATCGACTGACTCTCTCAAATATAATCAATCTCCAACGATCGATCCCTTAAAATAAAATAAAGACTTCGAACAAGAAAGGATGTCCTCTAACGTTCCAAATTAGCCACGCGCCATCATTAAATTATCCCCCCCTCCCAAGTAAACTCAATGCAACAAATTCAAAATCAAACAGTGCGCAACTTGGAAGGACAAGCGTGACACTCGATTCCTCCGTGATTATATTCCAAGTGATTCGCGGGTAATCACATTAACCGCGGGCGGAACACACGTGGCAAGAAACCGATACTCAGGATCAATTAAGCCTCCATCGGCATGCACGCTCGAATTCCTCCGGTTCTGACGTAAGCCTGACCTTGAGCCAGTTCGAGGAGGAGGCGGAGGAGGAATATTAGGCACGCGTGGTTAACTGCTCGGGAAAACTCGTCCCTTATCTATCTCATCGATCCTACGATATATAGGGAGTTAAACCGCCCTTCCCTTCTTTCCCCAATCATCGAATTCCATTTGTCGAAGCCATTAGCATTCGGCTCCACTCGCTTCCCTCCTCGCTTGTTTCCTTTGGTAAATATATATGAACGTGGAACACCTACCTGCACGTTCTACCGCAGTACTCGGGGTACTTGCACCCTCGGTTGCATCAACAGGTTCGCGTGCCGGATGCGCTGGCATACCGGAAGTCATCAGCAAGGCCGCACGACGACGTGGTTTTTCACGGCCTCACATGGTAACGATCTGGACATTCTCTCTCGCTCTCTCTCTCTCGCTCGCTCGCTCTCTCTCTCTCTCTCTCTCTCTCCTCCTTTGCACGAAACAGATTCGCACGGGTCGTAAAAGTTAGTTGTTGATAAGCATCGGATCTGGATAAGCATCGATGACACGGGGATAGATGCGAGAGGATTTTCTACGGGACGATAGAAAATAATAATTAGATTAGAATGAATTTAAGTTGCATGTTAAATTATTATATTATGTGGTATAGGATAAAGGATGAAGAGAAACGAGAGGAGAAATTGTGAAACAGATTAATTCGCGTGTGGAATTAATGGAGGAGAAGCGCATTTCGGGGGAATGTAAAAAGTTGCGATAAAATTTGTAGGCCCATCTATTCTCACTTTTATCGAGTCGCGTTACACATAATTTGCGCGAATTTCAATAAAGAATTGACGCGTATACGAACAGAGTTATAGCTAGCTTAGAGACGTTCCTTGGAAATTGGGATCGATAAGAGGTAAGTACAAAATTGCCTAAGCTAAATGATCGAACACATTCTCCACGTGTTGTTCATTTGCAATGTCGATATGCTTAAACCTTGCCTCTTATATCGTTCTTCCTTTTTCTCTGTACTTCTCTCTCTCTCTCTCTCTTGTCCTATTACGAATGCATGCTAGGTTTTTTTTTTTTTTGTAAAAATATATCAAAGTACGTTCACACAGTACGCTCTAATGTGTTCTAGCTTCGATATCGGAAACGAGTATTCGATTTTTCATCCGCATTTGACCGGCGATATACTCGATTTCGGTTTCTATTATTTGCTTCGTACGATTAATTTCCAAAGCCGAAACGAGAAATTCCAATATCACAGAATTTAATTTCTTTTTTTCTTTTTTCTGTTCCTCGCATCATCGCGGGGCAAGAGAAATTGATGATGATGAATCACGGAATGGACGAATGGTTTTGTTTGAACAATTTTACGCCTATTTTCTTTTTCCTTTTTTCTTTCTTTCATTTTTCTTTTTTTCTTTTTTTTTCTTATTTTTTTCTTTTCCTCCCCTTTTCTTTTTCTCTTTTCCTCCAATCGCGAAAAAATTAATAATTGACAATTGTTTCATTGGGTCCACTTGATTCTTACGGCCGATCGACCATGTTCGAAGCCACACTACGAAACTAAAATTATGTACAAAATCACAATGTTCCTCTCGCGGATATATTCGTTACACCGTCGTCACACAATTTTATTCGGCTTAATCTCTCGTGTTAATCCGCAAGGATCTCTTGTATAAATTATTACGTGACTACACACGAATGCTACGATACGCGCACCTACTTCTTCCAACTAACTGCTTCTTTTGTCTTTCTTTCTGTTTCGCGTGACAGAACCAGAAATCTAAATGATTCACGCTAAATATAGCTAGCCTAGAACTACATTAATTCGTGAACCGCGCAAATAACACTAATATTCGAGTACCGTGCGGGCGGATAACGTGTTGTGTATTATGACAAACGAATGACGATGAGACACGGAAATAAAAATTTATGAGAAAGACAACTAATCGAGAACACGGTGATCCAATTCGACAACAATTCGCTGTTGTTAACGCGTTGTTATTGTGTTGTAATTATCACGTAGGAAAAAGAAAAAGTGATCGCGACATATAACATTATCGGGCATTATTGTTAACGGACTGTCATGGATAAAACGTAAGAAAAAAAAAAAGAAAACCTAACGAGATTCTTTCTTTCTTTCTTTCTTTCTTTCTTTCCTTCCTTCTTGAAAGGGAAGAGAGCGCACGAAGAATAAATAAAAATCACGAAGAGTAAATATTCGAGACTGACATATTTATATTCGCTTCCGCCCAACGCGAACGACACGGTGAAGTATATTTTACGAATCAATATTACGAATAATCGTGAAATATCCTAACCTCTTGACACATTCAACACTACCGCTTGTGACTCGTCTTGCTCTTAGGGCTTTCCGTGGCGCTGTCGTTAGGCTCTCTTCTAGGTCGTAGAATGAAGTTGAGATTGTGCGCGGTGTTCACGGCGTAATAAACGTTGGCCGAATTTGGCAGAAGCATTTCACGATCGGGGAGGACCTGGGCAAGGGTGTACTGGTCCGGGCTCCCCTCTATCCCCAACTTGAGCATAGCGTTTCGTATCACTTGCGGCGTCCTCTCGTTGTTCGAGAGCATGATGGATTTGTAGAGCACCACGCCCTCGGTCTCCACGTTGTCGCTCTCCATCGTCACTTTGATGATGTAAAAGTCTGGCGAGCTCTTGTGCGAATGGCTCGGGCTGGACAGGCCAACGATATTCGGGTTCCCGTTCCCGTTGATCGCGGTCGGCGGTGCTAATCGGTTCTGTTGACTCGTCGCCGCTCCGCTCCCTCCGCCAGAGCTCAACGACACGTCCAAGGACGGTAGCGACGAGCTGGAGGAAGAGCTGGACATCTGGGACGGCGAGGTGCGTCGATCGAGAGAGTTGTGGGGCGAGCTCGGCAAGGAGTCCAGGTCGCAATAAAACTGGGAGCTGCTCGAGCTCGAGGTAGAGGCTATCGAGTCGTTTTTACGATGACCCTGATGACTCTGCAATACAAGTCTGGGCTCAGTCCTCTCGCGGGGAACAGGTGATCGGGGATCGAGGGCTCGTGTTAACGGGATCAGGGAGTGCATGCTGACCTGCTTCTTCTTGCCACGATTGCTCAGAGTGTTTCCGGGAGGCGGGGGCTCGATCTGGCAGCTCAGTTTGTACGCTTCTCGATCGTCGAGCACCACCACCGAGTGGAACCAACGATCGAACAACGGATCCGTGCTGAAATTGTACGCGTTCGCGGCGCCTTGGAGCAATCTTATCCTGGCGAGGACCTCGAACTCTTTCCGCCTTTTGTCGAAGTTGATCAAACCCTCGGCTATCGTATCCGGTATCGCGGTGTCTATCATGGTGAGATCCGTTAAGAACGTCCCTAGATACGGTATCGTCCCATAGCTGATATTCTACGTACAAAGAATTCGAATTAATTTTCAACCAGATCCAACCGGATACGTTCGTATTATTATTATTAAAGAGAATTACACTTACGCCCGCGTGAGTATTTTGCTTTTGAACAACTTTTGCAGATGCCTGTCGCTCCTGCCCGCTGTGTCAGCGAACTTGGCAGTGCCCTCTTTAATCAAAAGCTCTCGCTGCGTCCACGCGTTGTTCTCCTCCGAGAATATTCTCTCCAACTCTCTGAACAACTCGTGCTTCTCCCTGGGCATGCACTGCCAACACTTCTCCAACCTGTACACAGGGTTGCTCTGCAGACCGGACACGATGGCCTTCAGGCTGCTGAAATTCTTCAACACCCGTAACTCTTGAGCGATGTCGATCCACGTCTCGAGGATCCTCGCCCGTTCTTGAGCCTTGGTCGACGAGTCCATCAGTATCGTGGATATAACCCGAAGCGAAACGGCGTTGAATTGGTTCACGGTCGCCAATACGGTGGCCGCGTCATGGCTCCTCGAACGATCCCTCCTCGACCAGACAGCGCCCAAACATTGGTGGGCCACGAGCTTCTTGAACACCTCGGCGTCCATTCTGGTTAACTGCTCAGCGAAATGTCGGTGCGGAACCTCGGGGAAATTGTAGCTCGCCCAATGATCCACGATTGGATCCGGGGAACCACGTGCTAATCGACCATTGTCGTACACTATGCACGAATCTGAAAGAAAAGTAACGACTCGTGTGAGCACAGTTGTGTGCACAAGTGGAATACGTATGTGTACATGATCGACGTCTTTGAATCGATGATGAATCGTGATGAGTTGCAACTATTTGTCTAGAGAAAAACGCGATAAACATCTGGTTTAACAAACTTGGTTCGAAACATACACTCGTTACGGAATCGACGTTTAAAAAACAAGGAAAATGTTGTTCTTCTCGCTTATTCGTCTCGAGACAGGAATATAATGTGAAAAGAATTTAATTTTGAAAAATTAAAAAGTGTTTTTAAAAGAACAATTTAGAAAATATTAATAGTTGCAACGAAACGAAGGGCAATTTTATTACAATTTTACCTATTTGATCTTCACGTTGAAACCTGTGCAAACGATGCCTTGCCTTGAGCTCGAGCTCCGAGCCAGGAAGTCGTCGATGCGTGAAGTCGAGGACTCGGCTGAGCAAGGGGTGGTTCGGCGGCGACTTCCAGTCGCCAGGATAGGCGTCCAACCAGACGTGAAGCGCCTGAACCAGAGTCTTTCGATGTTGTTCACCGGTCAGGGCGCCGGATCCTTCATCGAGGGCATCGTACCTCGACAACAATAGCTCCAGCACTTCCCGCGGCGTGGTGAATGCTCGATACGTAGCCAAGAAGACATTGATATACGTCGACTCGAGTTCCCCGTCGTCGTTCGCCAGACTCTCCACCAGCCGCTGAACCGTGCCGGCTTTCAGGAAACGCACCCTCACCGTCTCCCATTCCAAATGCGAGATCTCGTCGTCCGAATCCTGTGCCCAGGATTCGATCAAAAATTGGAAAAAAAAGCTTGTTGGTTGTTAAGAGAAAGATTCGAAACGTTTGAATTCTCACCGATGCGGAGAGGCTCCTGGTCGGCCTGTGATATCGGACCTTCTTCAGGTACACCGTGTATATGACGCCATCGCCCCTTTCCTCGCCCCATAAACGCCACGTGGGCTGCGAAGCAAAAGGAAACGGCAAAAGTTAAACGGCAAGGAAAAAGGCAGATATCCGGCGGCGGCGGCGTCTACAATAACGGAGGGGAGGAATGAGGGAGGAGGGAGGGTGAGGGGATGATTTACGGTACTAATTTCAAGAGCTACCACCCCCTGTCATGCGCAACCATCTCTCTAATGAGGACAAGCTAATCAATGGACGTCGTGCACTCGGCAGATTTATTGAAATAATCGACTTCCACCTCGAAATTGACCTCGGCCGTCCATTTCACGGCTTGAATCGCGATTAACCGGATGAAACGTTTTATCCTCGCGATCTCATTCTTTCTCTCCTCTCTTCGTTCTTACAAATTGCAAAAGCTAATCGTCCGGATGATGATCGGGCTCGTATTTTAACTAGAATTTACGACAACGATTCACTCGCAAGGTTACAACAAAACGGGAAGGATTAAACGTTGAAACGCGTTTTGAAGCGAAATTGAGCGATTCTTTCTTTAAGGGGAAAAAAAAAAAAAAAAAAAAAAAAGAAAAAGAAATTGGAGATTGCAGATGGAAGATAAGATCGATCATCGGAATCGTTCGATCCAAATGACTGCTTCGACCAATCACGAAATGAATCGATCGACATCGTCCGATGAATTTTTTTTTTTTTTAATTCTGAATTTCTTACCTCAGATCCGGCGTACGATGCGGGATGCTTGGCGACGCTATGCACGCGACTAAGAAAATTCCTCGAGTTGGAAAATTTCAATCTACACGTAATACTTTCCATAAACATTTAACCGGTATATTACGATCAACGATTCGGCTGCGGAGCGAGGAATAATTCGACTGCATGAGGTCGCTTGATGTCTCTCAAAACAAAGCATGCACAAATCCATCCGTTAAAACCAATTGTTTGAAGCTGACCATTCTCGTTCTATTCTAAACTACGAAAAAATATATACATATATATATATATATATATATTGAGGACACGATCGATAAACACAAAAAAGTACAAACAATATAAAGTAAAGATCACAAAAGAAGGAGAAATCGAAAATATAATTTAAGGTTACATGAGAAAATATACTGCTCGATAATCGGTGGCAGACAAATTTACTATATTCATAGCGCGTTCACTTCCGAATGGATATCGTGCCAACTTCAATTCAAAAGTACAAAAGTTGGCCGTGAGGAAAAATAATCGTGAAAATAAATATCCTCCCTCGACCTATTAATAAATTATAATAAAATCTAACGACCTGTTGCAACTTTCTCTCTCATTACAAACGGCAACAAGTTTACCGCTACTTGATAAACACAATTTCGCTGATTAAATTTAAACATTGCTAACTTTAATCGATCCCACCTTACTTACAATTAACATTTTTCTTATCAATCGAATAATTACGCCGCAAAAAGCGACATTCATCCGTGCACACAAAACGCGTGTCAAAAATGCCGAGGAATTAAGCAACACCCTTCCACGCCACGAGTTCTTCACTTGCTAGGCTCCCTGGCTTGCGATGTTTCGCCTATTTTCAGCCCGGCTATTCGAAATCTCGAGGGGTGGACGTAATTACAAGCGGCCATAAACGGCCGGCTCCGCTCCGTCTGCTTTTTAACTGTGCAGGCTCTGGAAAACCAGCCGGAACCCTTCTCCTCCTCCTCCTCCTCCTCCTCTTCGTTTCCTTCTCGCGGAGACGCGAGCGAACAAAAGGAGGGAGGGATTAAACGGAGCAGCCTTGGTGCAAACGCGAATAGATTTCACGACAAATAAACACGCCAGCCTCTGCGCCTCGTTTCCGGGGGCCATCGTGGAACGGTAAACACGGAACGATGGCAACTCGAGGAGAGAGAGAAAGAGATCCTTATCCTGGCAAGGTGTTTTCCTCACCAATGGTATATATATATATATATATACATATACTGTAAAAAATCTCGATTTTACAGATTTTAATTAGCGTTTAAGCAAGTTTAATTACGCTTCCTGGTTGTGCAATATACTTCCCTCCTCTGTTATTCGTATTAATGAATGTAATGTACGAGTGTTTATTAATATTTCATGAAGTCGTTCTCTTCTGTTTCTTTTCTCCCTTTTTTGTACGATTCAATGTTTGATGATTGTTATATTTATTAGTCACTAAGATCAAATCTGTGCGAAGGATAGTGATGATCACGCGACGTTTTAATTGCGAGATTGAATTGTACGAGTGAATTTGGCGAATATACTCAAGAGTTTTGCTCTCACGATTATTATTTTTCGCAAATGGACAATCATCGAGTTGTTCACTTTCCCTCTCCACGGTGGTATTCCAATATTATCGATAAATTTTACCGTGGAAATAGATTTGCACGCTATCTCTATCCTCTTGCATCCCGTTTGCTAATAGGGATTTTTTAAGAAACGACATCCTACACGAGCGAAGGAAAGCGTGCAAAATTTAAGAAATAAAAATTCGAGAAATTTCGAATCGAGCTAGGCTAATTTCTAATCTCTCGAGACGATAGCAGGTCTCGAGGAGCCAATTACATCCTCGGCGTCACGTCTCCAAGGGAATAAATTGTGGGACCCTCAAAGGAACCACTAAAAATAGTATTCCCGGTTGAACACGCCCGGAGTCAAGTCGGTTTGCTGCTTTATTTGCAACGCTAAAAACGTCACCAAAGTTATCCGCCCCAAGATAACTTACCTGCAGGCCACAACAAGAGAATCGTAATATCGCTCCCCCCCCAGGCAAGAATATACCGAGAACCCGTATAAGATCTCCCTTGCATCTTCCATCTTGGAATAACCACGTGCATCGTAGAATCGTAGACGTAGGAGAGAAAGAAAGAAAAATCGTGTCATTGCCGTTCCACCCCACCCCCCTCTTTAATATGCAACGTTTAACCGATAGGTGGCCGGCTATATGCACACAATGGAAGAAGCCGGTAGATCGATGGAACCGAGAATGGAAAGCGTTCCTGCATGAAAAATGAAAGTAGCGTTCCATTACGTACGTGTGCCTATTGATTGTTAATCGTAAACACGCGGAAGTTTTAGTAGTTTCCAGTAGTTTCGAGGAAGGAATGAGATTTTTGGAATACCATTAAAAAGAAAAAAAAAATTCGTTCGTTCAGATTATTGCGGCTAAATTAAATAATAAGATAAAGTGAGCAGAAAGAGTATTGGATTATTTCGATTCTTTCAAAATTTTCTTTTTTCCGCCCCGAATAACCCCGGCAAAAATGTTGTCTTTCTCCAAGGAGAGACGAGAATCCAGTTAGATAATAAAACGGGAACGGCTGGTTTCTCTGGTTTATGCACGTGGGGAAGAGGAACCGGCCACGATTCCGAAGAAAACTGGCTACGTTTCTCGATGACGACGAGTCTAGCCAGAGAAGTAAAACTCCCGTGGAAAAAGGCGGCTTACGGTCCGGAACGAAGCGGCAATTAGAGGCCTACAGGGAGAACCCGAGCGTGACTTAAGGTCCTTATGCCCCCTTGTCCTTGGAGACGGCTCCTTCGAACACGTCAACTCCGGCTCCATTGTTCAAACGTGAATTCTGCCCGAGTCGGAAATCTCGTTACATTCGAATTCGAAGACCGACCGATTGTTCGAGCAGTCGTGAAAAATATATTCCAATTGTGTCCAAGTCGGTTCTTGTAAATTTAACTTTCAATTTTAAAAGGAAATTTTTACGTCGCAAGGATACAGGTATTTTATAAATACATTCACATCGACGAAATTATATTCGTTTGCGAAATATAATTTCGAAAGATAAATACGGAGAAAAATATTTAAACATATAAAATACTCTTCAACATTTGTAACACATTTGTCCACTTATATCAATTGAAATTCGAAAATTCGATTTTAAGATCGAAAAGCGTTGAAAAAGAATTCAAGCGCGAAAATCTCTAATCGAAACGAACCTCGAGAAACCTGCAACCTCCCCCCTCTTCATCAACGTCCCAATTGAACGACCTTCCCGGTTCGTTCAACTCGTCCCTTCACGGAGATTTCCATTGCGATTTCGTCCAATCGTCGTCCTCGTCAAATGGCAAAGCGAACTAATGTATTGCTAAGACGAAAGCAAAAGCGACGTGTGTACAAACTGCTATCCCTATTATTCCACGTCGCTCTATAAAAAGCTTAACATTGGATTACCAGGAGGGGGGAGGAAGAGTTGGATACGATCGATACATGGAAATCCACCCCCGACTATCGCGATACCTCCTCCTCCTCCTCCTGCTCCTCCTCCCTTCAAGCCTCGTAAACATCGACGTTGGAATCACGATTCGAGAAATCAGTGGAATATTCCTAGCAGGCAGGCTCGCCTCGTCATCGATCTGTCAAATTAGATTTCGCGAAACTAGGCGTTGACATCGTGGTGAATATTAGAATTCTTGCCTCGTTCGTTCAGAAATAAAAAGAATAAAGAATTAACCCTTAAGACGATTAATCTTTGTATTGCCAAGATATCTGAAGCGTGGTTGGCTCAAATGATTAATTGTTATCGGATAAATAGTAGTAAATTCTACGAGTGATATTTCTAAATTTAACAAAATGAGAACCGATATGATAAAGATCTTCTTTAAAATAGGAAAAATACGATAAGGAATTTGCAAAGAGATCCACTAAATAAACACGATCCAGGATGAGAAAGAAATATTCCATGCTTACAAATAAGATCCGTAATTATTATTACGTTCGAGATCATTAGAAATCTAGCAATGAGAGATCGAGAGGGCATAACGGTTTCGCAATCCTTCGAGCAACAATTTTCCATCTGTCAGATAAATTCACACGGTGATCTAATCCTCTGCTCGAGCGTTACGATCCGCAGATTATCGTCACGGAAGATCCCATATTTTTTCCATTCCGCGCATATTTATCCTCGATGCATATTTGCACGAAACGTTAGCATAATCGTTACCTATCTAGCAATTTTTTAAATTTTGTTTTAAATACCGATCGAATACATCCGATTTCCTGTAATGTTAAGCACAGCCTGACGATAATTTTATCT